AATGTATCCATTCATACCTAATGCCAAGCAATGTGATTTACATTTTCGACTTACGCTTTTAATTTCCTCTTGTAGATTCATAAAATGAAGCAGTTGCACTTTCCAGACATCCATTTGGAACACGAAATCAATTTGACCCAGGTTCATTTCATTACAGGTTAATTGCAATTCATTTCCAAAGATACCTGATATTTTGGCTAGTACCAAATCACCCGTATTCAATTCAGGTCTATTCTTCTTAGTTGCATTTGTGAATGATAGAAATGGCAGTATTCCAGTGTACATACTGTTGTGTAGATTCCCATGTGTCACATTGACTTTATAATAGTCGTTTTGAATAGCAAACACTCTTCCTATCACAATATCATGTACCATTGGTCTGTATTGAAGTGTTTTGGAAAAATTGAATAAAATTCTTCCCACTTTATACAGTTTTCCATCAGTTGTTGCCTTGTTATTCAGTATATTCATACACCTACGTCCTTCTTCTATGATTTCATCACCTGCTTTCACATTCCTTATGAATTTGAATTCTTCTATCTTCTTAAACAAATCAATTTCCATTTTTATACATAAAATTTCTTGATTTTTACATATTTACCCTAATAATTTATTCAGTAATAGATGTATGGCACCATTGGATATGCTTTCTCATCCATTTCAACCACTTCAATCTGAATATCTTTCTTAGTCTCCTTCTCAATGAATCCTTTGAATTCATTCAAGTACTCCACTTCATCAAATGTTACCTGATACTTCTTCATATTCATCAAATAATCCATACTGAATCCAATTCTCATTTTGCTGTTACTGTAATTCCTACTCTCTTCCAGAATATTCTTCTTTATCTCATCATTGTTCTTCCCACTCTCCTTCATCTCCTTTATTCTCTTCATACAATCCTCCTTCCAATCACTGTATTTCTTTGCTACCTTAATCACCACCTTATCTTTCTTTCTTACCATATTAATTCGTCTCACCACTTCCTTAACATATTCAATTCCATCAATATTACCTATATCACTTTTCTCACCCATATCAATCTTCTGTCCAATTTTCTCCATCAAGTATCTTGTATAACTTGGTATTATTGGATATAACATCCTCATCATCCTATAATACGCCCATTCTTTCATCTTATAGTTCATTCCACCCATGGTCTCATACGTCTCAATCATAGCATTCATGTTATAGAAACCATACTTCAATGCATCCCTATAAATCATATTCTCATACGCCTCATTTGTTCTCTTCTCATTTTCATTAACACTTTCAACTAAATACGCATCAATCAACCTGGTTTCAACTGATCCAGTTTTAGGGACATTCAACACATTCTGAGCCAAAGTGTACAATTTGAGCACAAATGAGTTAGCAACACTCTCTACGAAGTTGGCATCCTCATTCGTGTCACCACACGCAGCCAGACACATTCGAGTTGCAGATGGTCCAAACTTCTTTAGAGCATTTTCAACAGTCAGGAAATTCCCTTCTGATTTGCTCATTTTGGAATTGTTCAGCAATAAATACCCATTTGTGAATATACGTCGTGGCCAATATTCCCTATCAAAACAGGCTACGTGATTCATTAGGAAGAATATCAGGTGATTATTGATCAGATCTTTTCCAGATACTCTCAAATCAACTGGATAGAAGTATCTGAAACTACTTCTTGCTTCTACTGCAATTTCTACATGTTTTTCTCCTTCTTCTCCAAATTCATCCAACTTCTTTCTCAATTTCTCCTGATCAATTTCACCAAACACAAATTCCCATAGTTCGTTACACAGATACTTCTTGCAGTAGATTTCATCATTGCCCTCTAGATCACCAAATAGTAGATGCTTCACCGTGTAGAATGCCATATAAATGGTTGAATCGCTTAATGAATCAATTAGCACACTTTCATCCTTATGGAATCTAGTTCCCAATCCAAATGACCTACTGAATCCCCACTTTTGAATCCAATCTAATGCTCCATACAATTTGGCACTGGTGTCTTCAGAGCATTTCAGTTCTCCAAGACATTCCCTGGTTCTCTTCTTCCACTCTTCATTCCCATAATCCAAAAACCACTGATCTAATAATGCAACTGTGCATATTCCACCTGATCTAGAAATAACCTGGTCTTCTGGAACATAACATACCAAATAATCACTTTCTACTCTACTACTACCCGTCTTGATTCTCTCAAACTTCTCTTTATCCACATCACTTATTGTTTCACCCTTGCTTTTTAAGTAACTTCTTTTCAACACTTTTTCACCTGATATTTTTGTCACCTTGTTATGAATCCTACACAAATCTACCTCAGTGCATTCATTAACATCTTCAATCTGATTCTTTAGATTCTCATAAATGAGTCTTTCAGCTACATATTTCTCTGATCCAATTCCAATTCCAAATTCAACCCATTCAATCACCTCNTCTTCTGGAACATAACATACCAAATAATCACTTTCTACTCTACTACTACCCGTCTTGATTCTCTCAAACTTCTCTTTATCCACATCACTTATTGTTTCACCCTTGCTTTTTAAGTAACTTCTTTTCAACACTTTTTCACCTGATATTTTTGTCACCTTGTTATGAATCCTACACAAATCTACCTCAGTGCATTCATTAACATCTTCAATCTGATTCTTTAGATTCTCATAAATGAGTCTTTCAGCTACATATTTCTCTGATCCAATTCCAATTCCAAATTCAACCCATTCAATCACCTCAGACGTGATAATCTCATCAGTTGTTGATAAACTGGTTGCTTCTACCAGAATATTCATTCCAACTTTCTTCAGAACTACTGGAATTGGTTTAATACCCTCTCCTTTCCTCCTATCATGATCCAAGCATATTTGTTTATCAACTGGGCAATATATGGAATATCTCTTACCAAAACTGATGTATTTCTTCGATTCCAACTTCCTGAATTGATACCTCACAAATGAATCGTAATATTGATCAATTTCTGTAGTGATAAATGACCTACTCCAATCTATATTTGCATCAAACTCAATTAATGATTTCTTACAATATTCTGGGAATGTCCTACACCAGTGATATGGATCAGCGAATCTACAAATACACATATTTCTATCACATTTCTCTCCAATTGGATGTGTCATCTCAAATCCAAGAGACCTCAATATTTCCATAACAGAAACATCAACTTTCTCACCTGCTAATTCCTGTCTCAACTTCTGTGCTGATGCTGAAATAGGCATTCCAGTACAATGGAATCCAAATGGAAATAGAACATTATATCCCTTCTGCTCCATGTAGTAGCTAAAGAAGTCTGACTTAGATATTGAATACAAGTGGCCTAAATGAAGCTTACCATTCATATATGGATATGGAAACGTAATAAAGAACTTCTTCCTATTCTCATCCACCCCTATTCTACGTCCTTCTCTTCTTCCCTTTCGTTCTAAGTTATTTACGTATTCTAGTTTGCTATTTGACTGAGTCATGTGGTTAAATTTTTACTTCTTTTCCTGACTATAAATGATTCGAATATTCTTACCACAATATAAAACAAAACTATCTTCGATTCTCTTAATTTATTCCCCTCTTAAGGTGCATTGCTCATTGCCATGTTCTCTTCATCCACTAGCTTCTTTTTCTGAGATGCCATGTAGAAGTAGATTCCAATACCAATTGCTGCAGCCAGAAGCAACAGACCACCTACAATCAGAGTAATTTTGATGCCTTTTGACATTCCCTCTTCCTTCTTGTCAGATGATCCTGATCCTGATCCCGATGCTGCTCCCAGTACCTTTATAGTGAACTCGTTCTTCTCAAACTTCACCTCCATCAACTTGGACTTGTGTTCTTTGTTGTCACTCTTGTAAGTCACGAACACTACGAATTCATCCTTCTTTGCCGCGTCCTTGATTTTACTCAAGCAGACATATGCATTAAGGGGCTTGACTCCTGCTTCGATAGCAGGTTTCACGTTGTCCTTTGGCTTTGCGTCATCTTCTTTCACTTTGTTAGTAAAAACATCCTTCATCATGCTTGCAACTTCAGTTGGAACTGTTTGAGTGAATGCATCAGCAGCGATTTCAGTAACTACTTCCTTGTGGAGAGCCTGGTCCGCTGCATCCTTAGCCATATAAGCGGCTACTTTTGTCAACCTCGTCAGATAACCCACCATAGCTGCTGCGGTGGTGAAACCATCATCCTTAGCATTGAATGTTTTCATGTCAAGCTCTTCTGCATCCTTGTCGACCTTCTCAGCAACAAATGCCTTCGCATCAGTTACTCCCTTTTCAAGGGTGGCATTTTTAAGCAACAGATACTTTCCTGTTGAAAGTTCAATTGCTTTCTCTTCTGCTTTGACACTGTTGTCGTCGAACGTCTTCTGAAGATTGTCCTTAGCCATGACGCTAAGAATGCTGCAGATCAATGCTGTGTTGAAAAACATAGGGGTCAGAAAATTAAAAATTTTTAAGCAAAAAAGGAGGAAGGAGTTATCACTGATCATTTTGAACAAATGCAGAACGCATCATAACAGATATCAACTGAATCAAAATAGCCAATATGAAAGTTATTGTATTAAGGGACAAATTCCCTTTCTGGATAGAGCTACCCTTCCCAAAATGAAATTCTAGAAATATAGTTAGTTAGTCGGACTATTGCAAATATCTCAAGCATTAAGCTTATTCATAAGAATGTTCTTATAAATACAGAATAAGGCATTTCCAGCTTGATAAATCACCATTTAGTTTACCTCAGTCTTAAGTGTTCCATAAAACGCCTTCTTCTCCTCAGACGTCTGGAATCTGCCCCTTCCGATCTTCGAGGACGTGTCTACGAACTTGATGGAGACATCCTTGTTCTCTCTGACGTGAATTGGCTTCCTTAGCGTCACAACCCTCTTGCATGGCCCACTCACGCATCCTTTCACCATCACGTAGTCGTTTTCAATGCAGCCGTAGTGTGGGAATCCACCCATTGGGTTGATTGTCTTCACAGTCAAGTCGAAGTCAGTCTGAAGTGGCTGTGTTCCGTTTCCTATGCCATAAATCATCAGATTCTGCTGCGTCCTCCTGTGGAATCCCATTTGGCCGCATCTCGCCACAGAGTACATCACTCTTGACGGATGCCACGCCCCAATGCAGGCCACCTTCCTAATTCCCTTGTTTGTTTTCCTAGGCAGAATTGTGGTCCCCCATCTTTTCACAGTTCCCTGGAATCCCTTTCCTTTTGTGACTCCAATTGCATCAATGAACTCATTTTTGCCAAAGACCTCCTGGACGCAGATCTCCTTTTCCAGGCGACTCATCGCATACTCCGCCTTCTGAACACTCGTCCCACCGTTGATTTGCACCTCGATGATATGCGCCTTCTTCTGATCCAGTGACTTCAGCTTCTGTGGCTGAGAGTGGCAGAGCAGTCGCACAATCTGGGAGTTCCTGATTGCCTCTACGTCTGTCTCGGTGTATTCGATGTTCTGTCTCATGTCCTCGTGCTTCATTCCTGGAATGTAGCTCTTTTTGAACATTCTTCTGATTACGCCCTCACTGAGATTCTTGGCCAGAATCATCGCAGTCCTCTGCAGCCCATCGGTGGTCTCGCTGTAGCCAACGACGCCGTGGACTGCCATTGGTGGCGTCTCGAGAATCGTCACTGCGTCCAGCACCTCCTTCGTCTGAATCTTGTTTTTTGCCTTCACCTCCTTCGTTCTGATCACGTGGGTCATTCCGGCCTTGTAGCTCAGAAAGCCAGTCGGGTGGCACGGGCTGGACTGGTCGTCCGCCGGGTAGCTCTTGATCGACGACTTGACTGACGCAGCCCTCTTCTTCGGCCTGTACTGAAGTGATCCGTGTCGCGGTGCATGGAATTTCCTGCAAGACATTTGGGTAAAATTTTGTAAGAAAGATTTCCAACCATTTTATTTACTCTGAGACACTCAGTCACCAGAAGTCCTTGTGATCGACCCAATCGAACTTGTCGTCGTCCTCGAGGTCGCGCTTCTTGAGCCCGTTCATGAAGAGGCTGTTCAGGTAGAAGTAATCGGGGTATTCTGCGTACTTCAGGTTTCTAACGTGCGTCATGTACAGAAATAGCTCAGATGGACACCCAGTACACAGCTCCTTCAGCGTAGTCTCCCTTTTTACTTCTTTTATTTTCTCGTATTTAACTCTTTTGTTTTCGCCCTTGAGGCCTTGCCATGGCAATCTCCCCTTTGAGAAATAAATTAGCATGAAGCCAAGGGACTCCAGATCGTCTCTTCTGCTTTGTTCTATCCCAATATGCGTGTTTAGTGAAGCATATCTGGCAGTGCCAGTCAGATTCTTCCCGTCTTTGTACGGCCTATGCACCATTGTGACTGGATTTCTGAATTCCTTGGCCAGGCCGTAGTCGATCAGAAAGAGCTTTCCGAAGCTGGTGCTGACGACGAAGTTGTCTGGTTTGATGTCCCTATGGACGTAGTGTCTGTGATGTAGGAACTCAATTTGCCGCAAGCATGTTTTGCCTATTAGAAATAAGGTTTTGATTGAGAATTCCCTGTTGAGTTTGTTGTAGATTTTCTCTAGAGATGGGCCAAGCAGCTCCATCGACAAGCAATTCACCATGTCTCCTTTGTACTCTATTCGGCCTATATCAAAGACGCGGGGCGTGGCTGGGCCTCTAATGAGTCTATATATGTTAAATTCGTGTTTTATTTGGGATACGGTGATGGATTTCTTCTCGACCTTTACTGCGACTTCTTCACCTGTGTTTGTATCCTCTGCTACGTATATTTCACCAAATGCACCGTGTGATATCAGCGTCTTTAGCTTTAAATTATCCAGCGTTTTTGAATTCATGGGAGTTAAATTTTGTTTGTTTGTAAAAATAAAAGGAAAAACACCAAAGACGTAGTGGATGCACTAATACGCCAATATTCTAAGATATGTAAGTGAAAAGAAGAGAGATGTAAAAACCCTAAAAATTGAAAGAAATTCAGGTAAAATATTTTTATAAATCCTGTATACGAGTGGTTGGAACAGAAATACACATTTTTATATGTGTATAATACAAAAAGAAGGTGCATTGCATATGATTTTTACTTTAAACACGATTTTAAGTATTTTAAGCAAGAATTCAGGTGAAAAGTAACAATAAATTTCCAAAAATTACTATTTTTCTTAAACGAACACGTTTATCTTTAAGTATTCATTTCATCACATTCCTCTTCTTCAATTAACATCTTTATTTTACGCCCCAATGATTCGCAAACTGCAAAAACAACAAATTGCTGAATTTCTTGGAATAAAAAGAGCACCATTTAAGATACTCATAATGGATGAACATACTAGGAGCATCCTTGCACCACTATTCAAGCTATCTGAACTACGAGACTGTGGTATCTGCGCACATTACACTCTTTCAAACACTAGAACCCAGGCAAGAGACATTCCTGCTCTTTACTACATTCACGACTTCAACCTGGTCACACAAGATGTATGCAGATTCATCTATTCTGAATACTACATCAACAGCTCCACACAGATCAAACGAGCTGAATTGGAGAATTTGGCAGCAAAAACCAGTGAGTTACAACAGGCAAACAGAATCATCGCAGTCAATGACACATTCACTGATTTCATTTCTCTTCAAAATGACCTATTCAGTTTCAACCTGAAAAACAGCTATTTGAATGATTACACCAGAGAAGTCACTTCTGGACTATTCTCTGTCTTTGTGACACTGAATGAGATGCCATTTGTAGTCGCAAATCCAAAGACAACTGGAATCAGAAGCAGCATTTTGAAGATGTTTGATTCAAAATTACGAAATTCAAAAATGTTCAAAAATGCATTACAGAGACCACTTTGTGTGATTGTAGAGAGAGACGTCGATTTGCTTACGCCACTAATGCATACACTGGGATTCTACGAGTTGATTAGTGACCTATTTGATGTGGAATTGAATAAGGTTAATTTGGATGGAAAAAGTGTTCCAATTGACACAGAGAGTGAGTTCTTTAACAAGCAGCGATTCAATGACTTTGTTGACGTAGTGGATCTCATAAACCAAGAGGTACAGGCGTACAAGAAGGAAATGGCCATGAGGAATCTAAGTGTGACAGATGTGGCAAAAATGCTCGAGGTGGCACCAGAGCTGCAGAAGAAGAACGAGGTGGTCACTAGTCTCCTCAATATCAGCCTGAATGCAGTCTCAGAAATCAAGAAGAGGAGTTTTGATGAGTTTTATGCAATGGAAAACAAATTTGACAAAAACAGCCTATATGAATTGAGTGAGAAGGGAACCAATGAAGACATCATCAGACTGGCTGTGAGCATGTTAGGGAAGCCAGAAGCCGAGTTCATTGGGCCAATGCTTGAGAAGAGGGGAATCAGAACCAATATAGTAGGATACATCAAGAAGTTCATGAATGAGGACAAATACTACCAGACCATTGCTAAGAAGATGAAGAATCTTCTGTTCAAGAAGAGTCTGCCTGTAGTTGCACATGTTGAGGATGTGCTATTTAGAATTAAAAACAGCAGCCTTAAGGAGTCGTATGAGACATCTACGCACAAAGATGCCTTCTACTACAATGAAATCAGCAAAGTCGTCGTGTTTGTGAATGGTGGGATATCGTACCAGGAGGTGAGTGGCCTCCACGAGCTGTCTCAGAAATACGGCCTTGATTTCATCATAGGCGGAACTGAAATAATCAACGCACGTGGATTCATGAGCCAGCTAGAACAGTGTGAGTAAATGAATACGATGATTAACATTCTTATTAGAGGAGCCTCTTCATCTTGCACTGCAATTCGACTGCAATCAGGAGGCTGTTTACGCTATCAATCTGCTCAGCCAGAATTGTACTATTCTTAAGCAACTCATTCAGTGCATCACATCCTAGACCACTTGTCTTCACCTTTAATTTCTTGATCACGTATTCGATCCAAAGCAGATTGTTCTTCTCAGAATACTCGTGCCAGTAACTCACGTTATTCATCATTTTCCTGTAGACCTCGTACTGGTAGTCGTGACCTGCATTGCCTTCGAATATCCAATTACTGTCTGAGTGATACAGATCAGAAAACAGGAGCATTTCACTATTTTCAAATCTACATAGAGAGAAGTCTACGAGTGAGACTGCGATGTTTCCGCCATCAGGAACCTCTTTGCTTCCAACCCTTCTCAGCATGATATTCCCCCAATGGAGATCCCTGTGTTCGAATTTGAATTCAATTTGGAGATTTTTGATCACTTTGAGAAATTGAATCAAAAAGTGGAGCACCTCAGATGCACTCGTGAAGTGAAATGACTCGAGATCTACACCAGCATGTTCCATGAAGAGGCATCCGTATTTCTGATTCAGACTGTACGACGATGGATCAGTGTTCTCAGTTTCCTTATTGAAATTCTTCCAGGCTGTCACATATTCAGGTGAATACGCCCCAGTCAGAACACAGGCGTAATGAAGCTTACAAATACCAGGAATAGTTTTGAGCTGTTCCATGGCATAGCACTCTTTCATGAATGACTCCTCGGTGTAGAACTCAGTGAATGGCACAATCTTGACAACTAGGCGTCCATCAGGTGCCTCAAATCCAAATGCGTTGTCTTTGTTGTTCACCAGGAAAATGTCTGAAAACGACGCTTCTGCTATTTTTTCAGGGCTTTTTGGCATACACGCAAATTCAAAGCTGTTGATGGCATTCATCTTGCAGAATGCATTCTCAGGCTGATTGGATTGCGCCATCTTACACACGATGTTGACTTTCTTATTCATCTTCTCACATTCAGTCACAATTTGCGAGGCATCAACACCCTTAGGATTATGCAGCATCACAGTAGAAGCAACAGACATCTTTTTGCCTGAGATACCTCTATTGTTCTGTTTCTTTACCACTACATTGGTTACAGTGGGCTTGCTCTTCTTTATTACTCTTTTATCATTAATTGGTTTTTTCACTTTGACCCTTGTTTTGGTTCCCTTGAATTTGGTAATGTTATCCACAGGGATTCGGCTACTTTTCCTAATCTGCTCTCCATTGGGACCAACAGAAATCATTGGAAGAGAAGCCATATACCTCTTTGCTTTATTAACATCAAGGGCAGATGTGGTTTTAAACTGAGTGGATTTGAATTTGGCATTGGGTCTGCGATAGAATTCAGTGGGTTGAATCACGGTGTAGAATTCTCTGTCTGCTTTTTTAAGTGACTCGATGGTAGTGTACTCCTCTGTGAGTATTCGGTGATGAGCTTTCAAATCAAGAAACTTCTTTTTGTATATTTCTTTGACAGGTTTGTTTCCACGAATCACAAGATTGGTGCTTCTTTCTGTCTTCTTAGCATTATGCTCTTTTTCGATAGCCAATACCGTGCTTTTGTGATTCTCACGTAATTTCTCAAGAGCTCGATTACTTGCAGCAGTGAGTCCTGCTGTCTTAACAGACACTGGTTTGACCTGAGTCTCTGATTTTTCTGAGCTATCCACATAGGAATTAAAATTTGAGGCGGAAACCGTCTTCACCACAAAGTTCTTCTTAGGTTTCTTTACCTTAACACAAAAATTTTGTTCAGTATATTCATCGGTTAGTCCATTTGAGGCACTCCCCAGTCTTTGATTTGGCGCAGCAAGCTTGTTGTCTCGATTGTTTGCTGCTTTAGCGTTTGTTTTTTCAGACATGGAGGGTAAATTTTTTGTGACAATTTATGACACAAAATTGATAGATTTGAAATGAAGCAGTTTGATTGCAGGAGAAGGCTGTATGTCCCAAACTAAATTTCCAATCTCGCATATAAAAATCAAGAGAATTGAACCCCTAACAATAAAATAGTCCTGACACAGAAAGCCAAATTCGGAGTTAACTGAGTGAGCTTTCTGTGTCAGGACTATTTTATTGTTCTATTGACTTGCTGACAGTTGTTGTGAGGTATATGTAGGTATAACAAAGTTTAAACAGAATAAAAACTGTTTTATTTGAACCTTCTTTCTTTCAACTTAACAAACATGTTCTTATCTTCTTCTAATATCTCCACCATCAAAGATGATGGTTTGAAGCCTTATTACCGGGAAAATCCCTAAGGCGGTATATTTTGCCTCTAAAGGCAGATGATAGACTATGCACCACCAGAAGGCAGCAAGTCAATTTCACCATGTAATGTTCATCGAAGGGTAAATTTCTCATATTTTTATACCTTATTGATCAATCATTTCTAGTAATTATACACCTGCATTCGTGCTTAAACATTGTGTTTGGTTGCATGTATCCTTATGAATAAGCCTAATCTTCTACTAAATGCTCTTAACCCACGCATTTCTCATTTATGAAGTATTGTTTCATATGTGGTTGTTTCCAGAATATTTGTTATGAAAGCTTTCATACAGCAGAATGTATTGAGTGATGGTCTCTGTTGCGTGGCAGACATGTCATACGACTGCATGCTACAAGAAAGTTAGATCAGTAGACTTTGTTTATCAACAAAGTATATAAACAAACAGATTGGGGAAACCCATCGTTTCTATGAGTAAATCCAACGCTTCTAATAATCCCAAGACTAAGCAGGTTCCTGCCGAGCCGTTGCCTGACACCAACAGTCTCTATAATTTTGTTGCTTGATTTCCTCTGTCTGTTCTTAGCATTTATTTTTGTGCTTTTCCTTGCTTAAAACTATAGTTTATTAGCTTGATGACATCAGATATCAATAAATAGGTAGTGTTGTTGTGAACTCCGGTTTCATTCTTGGGGTCTTAGAATAGCATTTCTATGTAGTCGGTGATTAAAGTTAGTATCACTTCTAGTAGTTTTATAAGCAGCCATTTACTTCAATATACAATGATCCTAACAGGATCCAATTGGTGCAGAGGTTTGTAGCAGAGAAAATATAATCAGATGGTTGCATTTGGAAACATCAATTCAAAGAAACATGTGAGTAATCAGTGTGTTCGTGAGTAAGATTTTTGGTCAATTAATAAGTGATTTCAAAGATCTTACGCAATGTATTGACATAGTTTTTCTTAAAATCAGTGCCAAACTTATTGATGTTTAAGCTGAAATGACTACTAATCACAATAGATTTTGTTGTTATTCAATGCGATTGAAGACAATGCGTAGTGCCTGATATGTTGATTATCTTTATCAGGTTAATCGCCATCTTAGAAAACAGCCAAAGGTCTGTTCGTTCATCTTTATCAATCGCTATCCTCACCCATCATTCTTCTTGCTGATCTCACTTCAACCATTCTGTGCTTATGTTTATTCTTCATAGTTAAATATCCTCTAATTATCTGAATTTCATCGATTTTTAGGCACTTGATTCAGAGATAGTCAAATTACCTGAAATCACCATGTTATTGTTTGTCTATTTCCGCCCAAAATATCCGAAATGCAACAAACTTGCCTTTATTTGTCTTCAAACACTCTGTTTTATGATATTCAACGTCTTGCGTCCACTCTAACACAGCTGTTGTTTTTATTTTCAATAATTTCTAATTCAGTTGAATACACTTGGTAATCATATTTTGTTACCAACAACATCTTTTTTGGAGACAAACACGCGATATACACACTTATTTGATACTGACAAGGAGTATAACATGCTATTTCGTGTTGTTCTGTTCGTTTTGCCATCCGTTTGGTTCTTATAAAATCAAATTGAAACACCAATAACGTCCTCTATTGTGGGCCTTAATATCATTAGAGATTTCTAAAGCGGTATTTTCATGTCCTCCTCTAACACGCTATTGTCTTCAGATTCCCATTCTTTAACATTTTCGTTGTTTCTCGATCTCGCGCATGTCATTGCCTTCTAGACGCGGCTAAAATACGAATCGTTGTTTTGGTCGTGTCTTCACATGCTCTTTTTCAATAAAATTATTTCTCGTTGTAATTATCTTAGTGGTAAAATCACCTTGAAATATAATGATATTTTCCTGTTTTCAAGCCTAAAAGTAGGGATAAAAATAAGGTTTTTGTGTGATACAGGGATTAAAATGCTTCACATGACGCTTTTCCCACTAGTAATGCCTAAGAAAAAAGTATAGGAAAATTGGCCACATTGTCCAAGTTTGACCACCCCTGGTCTAATCATAAATACATCCGCGTCAAAGAACGCGACAACAACGATGACCGCGATACTATTGATTAAACAACATTTATGACAGGTTGATATGGAAACCTTAAAACAATATACTCACACACATTCATATGTAAAGTACACCAATATACAGATAAACACCTATCCTTTGTACATTCCAATTTCCCTTCAGGCACACTTTCATTCCCTTTATCACATTTTGTTTTTTTAACCCAAATGAGTCAAGGAATAATAAATGACATGAAAGAATTCATGACAAAAGAGCGGAAAAGCAGTTTCAAGAATGAATTGACATCTTTCCTCAAGTATCTAGTCCACAAAAAGATGAAGATTGAAGATGCCGAGGTTCTTCAAAGTTTCTGTCAATTTTCTTATGTAAAACTCAGAGGATGTCCATTGCCATATGAATTGGCTTCGATCAATGGATTAAAACTGACTCCCCAGCGAAAAGTCACTTTTGTTGCAAAACCAAAGAGAATCTGGTTCCACAAAATATGGTCCAGAGAAGGAAAGATCCAGAATCTCAGAGAAAAAAGACTTCCGGCCATCACCAACATCGATCCAAAGAAGATGTTCATGCCTTCAATGTCATTCAGTCAACTGAAAGAGAACAAAACAACGAAAGTCAGCTCATCAGAGACTACTGCAATCAATATTCAGGAGTGCACCACGACTAAACTGATGAATTCACTCAATTTCACGATTCAAGAAGTCTTAGAGAACCCATTTATTCTGAATAAATATGCAAAATAAAGAAAAACAATAATTTTTATAAAAAAATAACTCAAAACACACTCAGAATCAAACAAAATTGTATTTTATTCATGCAATACCACCAATTTATTTAGAACATGCTCAATTGCCTTACCCAATGCTGAACATAGCTCAGTACCACACTTGCAATTCCATTTTTTATTGCAAAACTCATCCCATTTCTCAGACCTATCAAGTACGCTGTTGCAAAGATGGCGCATCCGCTTCTCATCGTCTCTTTTACGCCGTATTCCTCCATGATACATGAGAATGTTGTGTATATCATGTTGAATTGAGCGTAATCAAATCCATCTCGTATTGCACAAACTTGGTTGTACAAGATGTTTTCGTTCTCATTTTTGTTCAACAACCTTTTCACACTCGCTGTTACTGTACCGAATATGAATGATTCCTTTGTTTCTTGTACGACACTTGTATAGAAATCAAATACAGTCATTTTAAGGTATAAAAAGTTGTAAAATAGTGCATACCGTGTAAACAACGGATTATCTGTTCCTCACTGCTCCAATCAAATCTCACTACCTGATACTGATTTTCTAAAAATTTACCCTACTTTCCATGCTCAATAAATATGAAGTAATGAGCATAAGAAACACAGAAGAACTGCTTGACACATTTGAACACAATAAAAACGACTATTTTATGATATTAGAAAAGGCACTGGAAATGAAATGGCATGAAACATTTATATTAATCATAGGAGAACTGAAGGGAATTCAATTTGCAGAATTCAAGAAGATTAATAGGCTGATTGTCAGAAACAGAGATGAATTTAGCGAATATCTGGATTCATTGTGTAGTGCCTTGCTCACATTTGATTTTGAATTCGACTTTGAAAACTACACCGTATGCAAAAAGGTGGCTGAATTAATATCAGCACAGAAGACATTCAATGAGACGGCCACATCGATCAAATACCTCAACAAACTCAACGGAGTGGTACGAGACGTGTTTCTGAAGCTACATATTGAAATTACGCTGTGTAAGTTGCAGAATGAGGAATACAGCGTAGAGCAATACGAGTATTTGATCAAATGTATTGAAGCTAAGAAACAAGATGAAAATTACAGGGCAATTGCAAACAGAATCTACAAGGAATTGCTATGTGGATTCTACATTAAAAACCAGGATATTGCGAAAAAGAGCGATGGTACAGTTGAAATAGTCGATAAGACCTTGTGGGATACTGTGATCCAGTCTGATACAGTACCACTCAGTGAGGAAATGCTACTGTTTCTGATTCAAAATGACTTCAATTACGAAGTTACAGGGAATCAGGTTACTATTCTACCATATGAGCACAATAGTTTCAACAAGAAGGTATTTAGAGTGTCAGAGAAGTACGAGGAACGAAGAGAGAGCAAAATAAGCGTAGGAATAGCAGAAAAAGACGAGGAAACAGAACCAACTGCTGTTAAGGACAAAAAAGAAGCAGTTTTGGTGGAACAGACAAAAACAGTCAGACCAAACAAATTTAGTCGCCTATACAACATTAGGAATTTTGTATATGACCAGTATGAGAAGAATGTGAAGGATGACGAGTATGAGGAACGTGTTGAGAACTACGAAGAGATGATGAGAAGCAGGGATGAAACAATAAGCAGGAAGAGAGCATTTTACGAAAAGATGGAAGAGAGAACGCGTGAGCTGGAAGAGAAGCTGTGCAAGAGGATTCAGGAGAAACAAAGAGTGGAAATAGAACGAAGAATCATGCAAGAAGCACAAGAACGCGAGGAAAGAGAGAAGGCTGAGTCGAAGAAGAGATGGTACAACACCAGCAACTCATTTGTAAAAATTGACTACAATCGGGGGAGCACGGCGTGGGAGAGCCAGGATAACAAGTTCAGGGAGAAAGGGTCGTGGAGCAGCATGTCTAAGGATGTTGCCTCAGGGGCAGCAGAGAAGTTCAAAATGCTGCAAGAAAAGAAGAAGGAAGAAAGTAAGAAGCAGGGTGGATTCACCCCTAAGAAAAAAGAACCAAAATACGACCCATTTGCGCATAAATAATCTAAAAAATACTGCCATTTATTTTACACCTTCACGTATAATTCAGCAGGCTGCTTGACCCGTAGTTGTGTCGGTCTTTTGGATTTGATGCTGACTGGTTTTGCTTTGGCATTCTTAGCTGCCTTTGTTTTTGGTTCTCTATTTACCTGTGTCTCGGGTTCAAAGTAGCCATGGCTCATTTTCAAACCAACGTATGAGACCAGCCCAAAGAGAACCAAGAACATCATCAGCCCCAAAAAGAGCACAAACTTCCTCTTAGGCACGACCCTACTCTTCGTGTCATTCTTAAACTGGAAATTAACACTTAGAGCATCCAATGCCTCTTCCTGGAAGAATATCTTGCTTCTGAACACGTTTGACTCCAGAAAGCTGATGTGGTTTCCAGCATACTCCGCCCTTAGTGGCGTATCGCTGTCGTATCGCATTTTGAAGAAGTTGATTTCCATGATATCCTTAGAGTGTATTGGGTCGGAGAAGTTCTTGATTCTTATGCGTCTTCCTTCAGCAGAAATGACCATTTCAAATACAAATTTGCAGAGGTGCTTTGCATCGTAGCAGTAGAAGTACGGATCGCCATTGGTGCCACTGCATTGGACACGTGCGATGTAGTAGTCCTCTCCCCTTGAATGGGCCTCGTAGACGAGGTCTGAGAAGCTCTTCTGCGTGAATGCCTCGAGATTCTTCGCATCGAGCGCACATTTGGTCGTATTGGTGTTCTCCAGTCCGTAGAGCATGGCTGAGGCAGCTGAAACTTTTTATAACACAAAACAGTGTTTCAGACTGTATTGCCTGATATCAGTGCATAAAGCAAATTAAGCTTAAAAAGCATAAAAATAATCGTAATTCAAGGACACCCTGAAACAACAGACACCTTTAGAACCAGAACTGTTGATTTTGGTGAAGTTTACTTGAATCATTATTGGATATTTGATAGATTGATGTATTCAGGACCACCATTACTCAATAGATTGAATGAGAACAGAAACATTCATCAGGTCAATTTACTCCTATAGTTTATGCATAATACACATCATTAACCGTAACCAAATCATTTAGCAAATTTTACCCATGGCTGAAATAACAAAACAAATTAGTTCGATAAAATTGGCACCACTCAAAGAAATCAAAGACCTGAATGCCAGTGGAGATGAACCAGTTCGATTTAGAGGGTTTTTAGACAGTTCCAGTGGAATGAAGACCACTACATTCATGGTAGTCAGAGATTGCCTGGAAACAGTCCAATGCATTCACACTCTTCCAAGTGACGCAACAGAGGAAGTTGCTGCCCTTTTCAAGGAGCATAAGAAGATGAGTATTGAGACGTATTTGGAAGTGACTGGGAAAATAAAGAGAGTCAGCAGCGCAATAAAAAAGTGCACCAAAAAAGACTTCGAAATTGAAGTGACTAGAATTGAGGTGCTTGGAAAAGTGTACGGAAAACTGCCATTTTTGAAGAAGGACGTGACAGACATGAGCAGTTCCACTGTAGGATACAATGTCAGACTGGATAACAGAACACTTGATTTCAGAATGCCAGCAACCCATGCAATGGTGCGTGTGATAGACCAGACGATGTTCTCATTCAGACGCATTCTAAGGGAAAGAGACTTCATTGAAATCAAAACATCCAAAATCATCCAATCTGGCTCAGAAGGAGGAGCCAACATGTTTTCAGTCGACTACTTTGATAAGAAGGCGTATCTGGCCCAGTCTCCACAACTGTATAAACAGCTATGTGTTCTAGGCGGAATGAAGCGTGTTTATGAAGTAGGTCACGTCTACAGGGCTGAAGTATCCAACATCAACAGGTATCTGAGTGAGTTCACTGGCCTAGACATTGAGATGGAACTGGAAACTGACTTCATTGGTTTCATCAAGTTTGTTCACTCTGTTTTCGTAGGGATATTTGAGTCATTGAAGAGTGATACTGCTGCTGAATTAGAAATCATCAGAAAGTATTCACCATTTGATGACGTAGCCTACAAGAATGAGCCAGTGGTGCTAACTCATTCTGAGTGTGTGAAGATGCTTAGAGAGGCAGGAGAGGAAGTTGGAGAGAAAGACGATTTCAGTAGAAAACAGGAGAAGACTCTTGGTGGACTGGTGAAACAGAAACACGGTGTAGACCTGTTTGTCTGTGTTGGCTATCCAGTGGAAGTGAGGGCATTCTACACCTACGCTGAGGAAGATGGAACCACGAGATCGTACGACTTCATTCTGAATGGAGAGGAGGTGCTAAGTGGAGCACAGAGACAAACTGACTACGAGAAGTTGAAGGTGGCAATTCAGAAGAAGGGAATCAGCCTCTCTTCCCTTGACAGCTATCTTGAGCCATTCAAATACGGTGCACCACCACACATTGGCTGTGGAATTGGACTAGAACGCCTTCTAAAGGCATTCTTCTCACAATGTGACATCCGCCACTTTTCCCTCTTTCCAAGGGATCCAAACCGCCTTACTCCATAATCAGATCCATTTAGGGTGTACCATTTAATATATCACTAATTGATATTTGTTATTGATTATTGGCTGGAAATGACGTGTTTCAGAAGGTGGGGTAGATCAGCAATTTGCTGCTTCGACTGGCATTTTAATAAACAGAAAAATAAAAATTTAATAAGGGGCCAATGACAAAAAAGGAAGAAGGGATGTTTGGAATGAATGATAGTGGAGACTACACCCAGAATGACGGATATGGAACTAGAATAAGAAACAGAACTGATGCGTTGCAGCTGCAGCGACTAGAGGGAGTTGCGGCTGAGACACTGAAGCCAAACAGAGCCATGCGAATCAAACTGGGAGAGGAGCTAGGGATGACACCAAGACAGGTGCAAATTTGGTTTCAAAACAAGAGGGCGAAACTGAAGAAGCAGGCGAATGGAAACAGCACGAGGGTGCGGGATATCAGGGAGAAGAAGAGAGTTGCGAAGTACGCAAACCACTCGTATGGGGCAGAGTGTACGAGACACCTCTTCCAGAACGATGAGTTCGATCATGATCGATACTATGGATCACGATTCATTTCTGATGCATCCCAGGATCAGAGCTACATTCTGGACGAGATTCCTGGCTGCTATGAGACACAGGCTGATCAGATTGCATCGAATGCGTACAACACGAACTACGTTGATGAAATAGACGAGCAGAACATGTATCCGTGGTGCTACGACAACCAGTATGAGCCATCATATGCCAGGCATCCGTACTATTTTCAGGATGAATTCATTGAAGGAGATATCAGCGAAGCAGAAGAAGAGAAGGGATGAATGAGAATCAGTCGCATCTCAAACTACTCGGACGATATCGATCAATAAGTCAGTTCAGTAAACGCATTTACGAAACAGTCCACTGTCAGTGTCTACTTATTCGTCTTCTTTTCTTCTGAAGAATCGTAGCACATTCTGAATTCCCTTGTTCAACCTCGCCAGATTCTCAATATTCAGCATCCCTGTTTCATTCTCATTTTCAATTGCATCGGTCTTCACTACCACATTCTCGTCTGATAAATTGGTACCGAAGTCATCCAATTCAGCCTGAATTCCACTCTTCTTCGTGCTCTCCTCATAAAGATACTCGTTGTACAGTTTGATGAAATCACTCACAGATCCAAGGAGCATTTCGTCTATTTTGGTTGAATACATTTTGTTATTGATCAGGTGCATTCTGAATTGGATGAGAGTGATCAGTATCTCATGTGGTGATAGAGTGGTACTGTATCCACACATCAGTCCAATGAACAGAGCCAACTCTCTGATCACACCGTGACACTCGTAGATCAGTTTCAGGATGTCATTCTCTGATATTCTGCTATGAACAAATATCTCGTATATCAGATACTTTTGATCAGTGATTGAGTAGTCACAATCCAATTCGGTGTTTATGTTACTGATATTCGCCAGTGTCACTGATATCCAGTTGTGACATGGGATATTCTGATCAATTCCAAGAAAGATGTCGAGAATGTTAGCGGCGTAGTAGAAATCAGCTGAGTCTCTTTCAACCACTTCAGTCACCTTATTATTCTTACAGTATTCCACCAATATGGCTGTGTTTCTATCTGATCCATATATCAGGTTGTATATCAACTCATAATCCTTGTTTATTAATCCATTTTCTATCACACTTCTCTTCATAAATATCTGCTGTACTTCTGAATACCTGCTATTTTCCTTATTTAGGAGTATTCGTATTCCATTTATGCTTATTTTACCAGTGTTATTTCTGAATACTTCTGTTTCCATGAATTTGGTCTGATTTATCAGGGAGTCATTCAACAACTTCTCCAATAGCCCACTTTTAAACAGTCTTGAAACTGCCTTATTGCTATCCAGAAGTCTATCGAATATTTCATTCTTTTTAGTAGCAAATAGTTCATCAAGCCACCTGTTATTCTTCTCTAATTCACCTATTTCCACTGCTCTGATCAAAACAGCCTCTATTTTGGTCTGATTAGCCAATCTACGTAGAAAGAGACTGCTGTTGACCGTATCAAGGAAGTAGACGACCTCAATCACACTCAGATCAAGGAGCATGTTCAGATTCATCTGGTCACAGAAGAGGTCGTCTACGAATTCATCCTTCTTGGAACTGCTGAATATTCGTTCGAGTATTTTGTAGTGGATTTCAGTTTCATCCATTTCAAAGACTGATTTGAATATGCTGGTCAGGCAGAGTGTTCCAACTGCAACTGGATCAATCTGGGAGAAAGTGTGGATCTCACTGAGTATCTCAAGCCTGTCTTCGTCGTATGAAACAGACTCAAATTGCGCAATGAGTCTCCTGATTTGCTCTACTCTTTTTTGCATGGGTGGTTTGTCTCCTCAGATTTCGTCATTTTGTTCAATGACTCGGATGATGCTTCTCATGGCCCTGTTTGGGATGAATTTCGGTATCACAAATGCAGTGATATCACTGTACAGCTCCACCGTGATCTGATCATCTGCTGGCTCCCTGATGAACTTCTCTACAATTCCCCTGCATCCAATCTTCTGAAGAGGCTGCTCCTCAAACAAGTCAATCAGCGTATTGATTTGAAGTGGATTCAGAAATGTGTTATTGATCAGGCCAGTCAGGTAGGCACAGTCCTTCTTGTTGCTGCTTTTGTGGACGACTGCCATTGCTGTTGCCAGTTTCACTGCCTCCGTGATGTGGCCTAATGAGAGTGAGACATCGGTGTACCCAATTCGGTAGCAGAATTTGGTGATTTCAGAGAGATTGTAGTTGATCTGGGCACATCTGTTGAATGAGAGGTAGTTTCTCTTGATCAGGAGGCTGTTGAATGACTCGAAGTCGACGTAGCCGAGGAGATGTGCGAATATTCCGTGAATGTGGGTCTCAGGGACGTAGTAGAATCCAAGCCAGTCGACCACTTCGTCCAAAATGGAGACGAGTTGGCTGATTGTGGTGCCAGTGAAGATCTTCTTGAAAATCGACTCTTTCACTTTGAGTTCCTTGATGGCCTGGTGCTCAATGATTGAGAATGGAAGAGCTGTTCTGATTCTGGTTTTGAAGGCGTGAGTCACCTCCTTGTGAAACAGGTGAATTAGATCAATGAGATTCTGCCTATTGGTTGGAGTCATTTCAGTGATCACTGAATCAGCACAGAGCACAAGCAGCTCAATCGTGTTTGACAGGAAGAAGAGGGTGATTTGTGTATTGGCCAATATCTGATCGAGTCTCCTTGAGACTTCTTCCAGGGTCACAGCGAGATTCAGGTTGAAGTCGTCATCGAGTCTGTTGATGGCGTAGAACAAGCCATGGGCCATGCTCAGCATCTCATCCTTGGGAACATCCTTCTCTGAGAACATTGGTGCATGATCAATATAGATCTGAATCATGCATCTATAAATATTGTTGGATGATAGGCCATCGAATGATTCAGAGGAATCTTCTGCATTGGTCAGTCTCCTCACCTCTTTTCTGAGTTTCTCGTATTCCAATTCAATCCCTTGCAACCTGAGCAGTTTCTGAGACTGGAACTTGTATTTCTGTTCTAGAACTCTACAATTGTTACAGTTTGATTTGGTATTGTTTTTGGAGACGACTCTCTCTTTTTGTGGTAGTGGATTCTCATTCTCTTGTTTTATCACACACATTTGTTCTATTTCAATGATTTCATCAGGTAACTTCTCTTCTGCTTTCTTACTCAACTCCTCCTTCATCTTTGCTTCTTGCTGCCGTCTTTCAGTCTCCAGTTTTACAACCAGCGCCTTCTCCTGTTCAATTCGTACGTTCTCAATTCGCTCTTTTTCAAGTCTATGGACTCTTTGTATTACATAAAATACTCTTTCCATTCTTCTTTTATGTAGATTAAGCCTAATCATGCTTAATGCAACTCGCACCTTTTCTAACTCCTTCAATGTCTCGTTATTGAAGAAATATCTCGTCTTTCCCTTCACTAAACTCTTTAGTAGACTATTTCCATCATATTCGAACGCACATTCACTCTCTCGCGTCTTCATCGCAAACAAGAATGAATATCTCTCTTCAAACTCATCTATGTAGCATTGGTACGCAAACATGTGTTTAGATAGCTGTATAGTCTGTAGAATTCCATTTGCTCGCAGCTGCTTCGCCACTAATCCCCTATCAAAGTGCATTTCTGCCTTTTTATTATTTGGCTTTATGCATTTTATGTATTTCAATTCTGTTTTATTTAGAACATCAAACAGACTTCTCATACTCTTTCTGAAGTATCCTACGACATTCTTGCATACATCTTCTGTATTGTTTTGTATCACAAACTTGTTACCTGCAATCAAACCCACGTCTGCTTTCTCCTTGTTCTTTTCAACAAAATCACTGCAATTGTAATCCAAGTCTCCCACATAATGTTTAAACACGAACGTGTCATCAAATTTGATCGCTAGTTTCAGGTACTGCCTTATTTTGTTACACAAATTGTCAGGTGTACCATTGATGATTGACTCTTCTGCAATTAGATCAACTAAGCCACACTTCTTTTCAATCAAATTCAATGCTGATTTGCCCATTTTCAGACCCTTCAAATTGATCAATGATCCATTACTATTTCTCATAGTCAACAAATCGAGTTCTTCTTCAGCAAAAATGGCCTTCTGGTGCTCAAATGTTCTCTTGACAAACTCATCGTACAACTTCTCGTTGCACCAGTTGATACAGAATTGATTCAGGCCATTTTTGTCGAAATTCTCAAATCCAAAAATGTCCAGGATGTTCAGACACTCTCCTTCTTCGAATTGTGTTGCATTGGTTTTGCCTGAATAATGCTCGTTTATCTTCATAATGATGTAGTCGAATATCTTTGAATAAATTAATCTGGCTAATGAATTCCGTAACATCTTGGATTCCTGAATTGTGTACTTCTTTTTGATTTCTTCGTCTCTTATTTTCATTGTTTTATACGTTAAATACTCTTCTAATACACTTCTACTGATGTTGAATGTGCTGCTGATTTGATCAAATTGTCCATCATCCCAGTCCTCAAAATTGATTGATCCAATATGCAATACACCCAGAAGCATTCTTTCAATGTATTCGAAATCAATTCCAATCATCTTGAATGCCTGTTTCAACTCCATATATTTCTCTTTATACTTTCCAAACCTATGAACTGTAATGTAGTCGTTATCCATCAGCAAATTGTTACCGGCCAACAAGTAGTAGAAAATGTGGAAATTCTGTTCATTTTCAGCCTGTTCCGTAACACGACTCTTTTCCAGCAGAAATGTCTCCAACTTGATGGTCTTTCCAACTCGTATCAACTTCCCAAATCTGCTCGAATTGTTGTTGTAAACTGTCTTTGCATTTCCAATGCTCTCTACAATCATGTCTACTGCCTCAATCTGCTCTATATCCAGGTATTTCAGTATTATTTTGGTACACTCTGTCTTACCAGCTCCACTCTCTCCAGAAATGATTATCGAATGCTCTCCTCGTAGCCTGATATTCTTCAAACACTCCTCAATCAGCATGAAGATGTGTGGTTTCAGGTTGTGACCTTTCTTGTACATCTGCTTTATATTCTCGCTGTAGATGTCCAGCCTGGCGTACGGGTTGATAGATAGCAGCAGTAGACCGCAATTCGTGTATATTTCTGCCAACTCGTATCTCTCGCTCAGCGTATTAAGCAGACTCTCGTTGTCCAGGTTCTTCTGCTTGCATAAATCTTCGTTGTCCATATGCATAAAACAAACAAATCTTTATTTGTTTTCCACCAATCAAATATTTGGCCTATAAACAGCCAAACTGTTCAATTTCCACCAAACTAGTCCAACTCGCCTATTTGTCCAATTCAACCATTTTTGAAATTTTTACCCAATGGAAGCCAAGTCCAACGTCTTTCTTGATATTGAAATCAATGACAAGCCAGCTGGCAAAATTGTCATCGAATTGTTCTACCAAGACGCGCCTAAGACGACGGAGAACTTCAGAGCCCTCTGCACCGGTGAAAAGGGCTTTGGATACAAAGGAAGCATCTTTCACAGAATCATCCCTGACTTCATGATACAAGGCGGAGACTTCACCAGATCAGATGGAACAGGTGGAAAGAGCATCTACGGTCCCAAATTCAAAGACGAGGAGTTCATCCACACCCACGACGAAAAGTACATGCTCTCAATGGCAAACTGTGGGCCAAACACGAACGGATCGCAGTTCTTCATCACCACAAGCATCTGCAATTGGCTGAACAACAAGCACCTTGTTTTTGGAAAGGTGGTTGATGGCAAAGATGTCGTGGATCGCGTTGAGGGCGCTGGCTCCGATAATGGCACTCCAAATGGCATCGTAAAGATAGTCAACTGCGGAATGGTCAAGGAATAAATGCTTAAGCAATTTGGCTACTTTTTGTACCAAAATAGTCGCCTTATTATTCTCTTACAAAAACACTCCTGGTCTCTTGGCCTGATGTAGACGTAGTTATCCAATTCACTCTCATCTGATTCGAGTTGCACTGTTTTGGACACGTCTTCTGTCGTATAGTCCAACTTGTACTTCTTCGACTTGTTCATATTCAGCCATATTCAACCAAATTAATTCAAACAGGTTTCATTTCCAGAGCACCAGAAACTTCTTCTCGTTTCTCGTTCCCTCTCCATCGACCTGCAATCCGCCCACAAATCCGGCTCTCTTGGCCGCCTTCGTCAGAATCTCAGTCTCCTTTCTACTTGCATAAAATTGTAAAACTGCCTTAGTTTTCACTGTTCGATGGAGTTCACTAAAGAATCCCCTGATTCTCCTGGCTGGAATATCCTGCTTCTTATACGACTGAAACAGCCATTGGATCACTGAACAGGATATTGCGTAGTCAAAGACACCATCTGAAAATGGCCACTTTTCGCCTATGTCGCCTAAGAACAATTCCACATTCTCATCCTCAACACAGTTCAGCATTTCACTGCTGATATCCATTCCAGCAACCACTGCGTCATCAAATGCACCTGTTACGCATTCTGTGCTAATTCCTGTACCACAACCAATGTCCAATACCATCAGTCCATGACTTTTTTCTTCCACTTCGAGCAATTCAACACATCTTTCTGCTATTTCTCTCTGTATCTTTTGTATTCTGCTACTTCTGTGGTATTTCCCACTCTCTTTCCTGTCGTAGAAGAGTTCTGGTGGGTTTGTGAGTTCTGGTTTGTTTTTTGCTGACATTTTTGGACTAAATTCGTTCTATTTCTGATAAAATTGAGTATTTTAGCCAATAACCAACTAATTCAGTACCTGATTGCCCTACTGGTACTCCACCATCTACCTGTTACAAACTACCACTATCAACAACACCTCCAATATTCCCTTATTTTGATCCATTTTCCTGCCTGATTTATCATCAAAATATTTATAGCCCATGCAAAAAACAAACACGTGCGATGGAATCGACGAGGAGCTGTACAGCAGACAGCTCTACGTGTTAGGTTACGAGGCAATGAAGAAGATGCAGAAGGCGACAGTGCTGATTGTGGGAGCAGATGGACTGGGACAGGAAATAGCCAAAAATGTCATTCTGGCTGGAATCAGCAAGGTTGGAATCTACGACAATGAGTCAGTGGCCATGCGCGATCTCGGGGCTGGTTTCTACTTCAAGGAGGATTCAGTTGGTGAAAACAGGGTTGATGCAATATTGGGGTCACTGAAAGCAATAAACAGCTACGTTGAGGTAGATGCAGAAAGTGGTGAATTGGATTCAGCACTAGCGAGCTACAATATCGTGGTATCAGTGAACAAGGCATTGGACTACAACCTGAAGCTGAGCAAGAAGTGCAGGGAGGCCGGACTGAAATTTGTGGTAGCGAATAGCAGGGGATTCTTCGTACAGCTTTTTGTTGATTTCAACATTCACGTCTGTTACGATAAAACAGGGGCAGTTGCATCAGCAGGGATGATCAACCACATTACTGCTCAAAAGAGCGATAAACAGCTTCTGGTGGTGCTAGCAGATGGAGCGAAGCACTCGTTGGAAGAGGAGGATACGATAAAAATCACGAAAGATGGAACTAGTGAATTTTATGCAAGAATAAAAAACATAAAGAACAGGAGCGAGTTCGTGGTGGAGTGTGATACGCCATTTGTGCCTGCTGAGAAGGCGTTCTACGAGTTTGAACAGATCAAGACGGCTGTTGAGATATTTCACGAACCACTGGAAAAGGCGATGAAAATGCCTGGTAAAAACGTAAAACACGAATACAGTTACGAGGACAATTTGCATTCATTATTTATGGGGCAGAATGTGGATGATAAGGAGTTGAAGAACGAGTTTGATTGGAGCAATGAGACTCTGCTAGCACCAGTTTGCTCTGTTTTGGGTGGATTTGCGGCACAGGAGGTCATCAAGGGAGCAAGTGGCAAATTCATGCCATTGAACCAATTCTTCTACTTCCACTGTGCTGGTCTCTTCAACAAGGATGCTGTGAAACAGCAGAGACCTTCAACACCAACGAGATACTCCGATTACGTCAAGTTGCTTGGAGAGAGCGAATTCAACAAGTTGAAAGGAACCAGACTATTTTTGGTTGGAGCTGGAGCCATTGGCTGCGAGAACATCAAGAACTTCGTGATGACTGGAATTGGATCCAGTGGGATGATTTACGTCACTGACATGGATTCGATTGAAAAGAGCAACTTGAACAGGCAGTTTCTCTTCAAGGCCGATGACGTGGGAAAGGTGAAGAGCGAAAGTGCCTGTAGACGCGTTCTGGAGATGAATGGCGAATACGCTGACTCGTTGAAGGCGTACACGATTCCTGTGAAGGAGGAGACTGAAAATGTCTTCAGCGACTGCTTCTTCGAGGGGCTCGACGTGGTCTCCAATGCGTTGGACAACGTGCAGGCGAGGACGTACATCGACGAGAGGTGCGTGCAGCACTGCCGTGGAATGGTCGATGCTGGGACACTTGGAACAAAGGGACACGTCCAGGTGGTCGTTCCCCACCTGACTGAGTCTTACGGAAGCACGACTGACCCAGAGGAGACGTCGATACCGCTCTGCACGATCAGATCGTATCCAAACAGCATCGACCACACGATCGAGTGGGCGCTGGCCGAGTTCAAGAGCGAGTTTTCTGAATCGAAAGATGACGTCAGCATAAACAGTCAGTTAAGTCTAATTAAGCTTACTGAGTATGCTGTGAGTCTGTTTGACTTGCACTTCAACAAGACTGTTGCGAAGCTGCTTGCGACATTTCCACCCGATCACGTGACGGCAGAAGGCGTCTCGTTCTGGCTTCCGCCTAAGCGAATTCCAAGGCCAATCCGGTTCGATGCCTCTGATCCGCTGCACCTCGGCTTCGTTCTTGCGACAGTCCGCCTCTACTGCGAGGCAAACGACGTCTCCTTCAGCCACGAGGCCGTTGAGTCGCTGGCCCAGGACGTCCGCCTCGTCGACTTCGACCACGAGAAGGAGGCCCTTGCGAAGAAGCACCTTGTTGAATTCGAGAAGGACTCGGACCACGCTGACTTCGTCTACGCTGCTGCGAACCTGAGAGCACGAAACTACGAGATCAAGGAGCAGACGAAGCACTTCATCACGGGCGTGGCTGGCAAAATAATCCCAGCCATTGCCACGACCACTGCAATGGTGAGTGGATTGGGCACATTTGAGATCATGAAATACGTCTTGCAGAAGAAGGAGGTGAGAAACAGCTTCCTTGACCTCGCTCATCCGATGTACGCAGCAGCTGATCCAATTGATTGCACCAAGAACACGTACAAGAAGGATGGATCAGTGGTGACCTACACGCTCTGGTCTCGTCTGAAGATCAAGGACAGGCCACTTGGTGAAATGGTGGATGAGTTATCGAGGTGCTACGGAGACAGGGTGACTGACGTCTCTGCTGGTGCCAGGATTCTCTACATGGAGGCAATGCCCAAGTTCAACAAGAATTTGGAGAAGACTGTTTCAGAACTAGTAGGATGTGTTGATGGACAGAAATACATATGGATCAATGCAATGACTGAAGATGAGATTGATAAGGAACTGGTTCAGGTGGAGTTGAACAGGTAGTAAATGGGTGTGATTGACATTACTATTCTAATCTAATCATCGTAACTGATTATAATAGGTAGCTAATTATATTCAGGTAGCTAAATATAATAATTATAATAATAATTACAATAACCACTCTACCATAATAACTACCACAATAACTATTCTACCATAATTACAACAACACCAATTTTAACACCCTTTACTTTATTCAACACATCACTTTCTATTGCCTTGTATTAAAATAGTTAAATTACTTCATGTTAAGCCACCTGTTACACCACTATCAGATGTGCTTGTGTATCTTGCTCATGTGGTACTTCAGTCCGTTGCTGTTTCTGTACGTCTTCCCACAGTTTGCAACTGGACACACAAATGGCTTATACGCGTTCTCCTTCTCCTTCGAGTGGCCGTGGGCCATGTGGTACTTCAGTCCATGCGATGACGTGTACGACTTGTTGCATCCTGGCTTGCTACAGACGTGTTTGCGCTCAGCAGTGTTCATGTGGCTTATTGCTGTCTCCTCGTATTCGAGTGGATGCTCAGCATTCCCGAGGTCATTCATGAACTCATCGAAGTTGAAGCAGATCTCCTTCTTGTTTGGCGCAGAGACCATCTCCTCCTCCATCACAAAGAGATGGTCCCGGATGGTGCGATCTAAGTTCGAGTAGAGGTGCTGTGTCTCGTTGTACTCTCTCTTACGGGCTTCCTGGGTGCTCTTCAAGTTCTCTAGCAGCGACTCGTAGGAGTAGAATTTGTTGTCTGTCATGAGGGTGAAAAAGTGATTAAATCAAGTGACATCGAATCAATGTTTGAGATTGTTGGAGAATGGGTCTGAAATGGGTGATGAGAGTGATAGGAGTGATAGGAGTGGAAATGAGGCAGGATGAGATATTAATAGGATACGATGAAAATGGTGGATGGGTGATATATGGGATGATTGAAGATGGTGGTTAGATGAGAGAATAGGAGACAACTACCACTATTATTTAATAGGAAGTTAATTAAAATATTAAACAGGTGAGTGTGTTAGTATTGGGAGATATAGGTAGGAGATATAGGTAGAGAGTGTATGACGTGATTGATTGTGGTGATCAATAGTAGAGCAAACTAACTGGAATAAGATGATTGGTTCAATAATGATTAATTAAATACGGAATGTGTCGTGATATTTGTGAGTTGATTCGGATAATTTAGAGAGTAGTGGGTGTCAGTGTAGCAAACTATATTAATACAGTTAGAAGTTAACACAGTCAGAAGTAAATACAGGAATAAGGTAGTGAAACCTGTTTTATGAGTTGCTATTTACAGTTGTACGAGTTGCTATTTACTTATGTCAATAGTTAATATTGGTAGTTATTTAGTAATGATACTAGTAATAATGGTAGTTACTTCTTGTAACCTGTTTTATATTTTTTACTCCTCATGCTTTATTTCGGTGATACAGCAGAATGGGATTCAGAGTACAGGGCATTCCAAAGAGACATTATGGGGCTGGTTGAAGGAAGTAGAAGCACGAGGAAGGAGTATACGAACACAGAGGTGGAATACAGCATGAAACTAATGGAGAATAACATGAATGCTGATATTGGATCGGATGAATTCAAGGAAAGAATGAAGAAGGATGAAGAACTACTCCATTCAGTGGTGAAGCATTCGACAGAATACGACATAGAAGAAGTGGTTAGGCTAAGTAGACTGATTCAAGACAGTGTAACCAGAATATCAGTAATAAAGAGGGTGATAGGGTGGATTAAACCAACTAGAATTCAGTTACAGGGGTATATTGGTGAATTGGATGATTTCGAACTCTATGAATACGCCCTAGAAAACAAGATTGAAATTGAGGCAGTTCCAGGGATAAATGGCCTATTCTACGAAATGTTCAGGGCATTCAACTACGAGAAGCACTCTCACCTGATTCAGAGGATTGAAGACCATGCGATGCTGGAGAAGGTGTTTGGAGAGAAGACGTACAACAAGAAGCTGGTGGCTGACTACGAGAAGTTGGGAGAGAAGACAGACCTGAATTCGAAGGATAGGGTCTATTTAGCATTATTCAACCTGATTCGTGGTAGTAGAATAGTGAATGAGGCACTATTTGGATTCAAGTTGCTGGAAAAAGAGCCAACGTCCTTCAACACGAAGGTCTTCATATCACTGCTCCTAGCTGAAGAATTCAGTATAAGAAATATTGTACTGGGAATATTCATTTGTAGGAAGCACTATGAGGTACTGAACACTGATATGATGGTTGTGTACATGTTTCTACTACGATACATGTGCATGTACGACGAAGTAAAGCAGATTTATAGGAGACTAAGAGTAGCCAATATTCAGGTGTACAATATGGCCTACGTTTGGAGAGACATACAGGAGATATTGAAGAAGGGAAGCTGTGGATTTGGAATATTCAACAGATTCAGCAAGTTAGCAGACGTAGACTGTGTAGTAGTAAACGATAGAGGGGTGATACAGAAAATGTGCTACGAATATGCAAAGGGTGGAATTCATTCAGGGGCTTACAGCTGTTATAGGATACTGGTGAAAATGAACAACAATAATGTGATAGAGAATAGGGTGGGAGAGAATGATACAACGGTATTCGGCAACATGTTGGGAAGCAGAAACAGCAGATTGTTTAGGAAGAGATGCAATTTGGATGAGTTTGTTGCAACTAGGAAACAGAGGGGGATTCTGACAGTGGAGGGTGTGGTGGCAATGGAAGTGGATGAAGCATTCAGAAACAAATACATCGAAATAGGCGGAACGAGAATAGGACGGGAGATACGGAAGAGTCTGGTTGAGGTAGAAAGAGGATTTTGAAAAATTTACCCCAATGTACAGTATCAAGTTTCAGGCAATGATTAGGGAGAGTATGAAGTCGAGTGAGGAGAAGATGGCGTATGAAGAGAGGCTGTTGAGGGAGTATGACGAGCAGAAGCAGGCAATGGAAAGACGAATTGCGGAGAACAAGAAGCACGAGGAGGCAGTGATTCCAAAAATAATTGAGAAAGTGAAGAATGAGATGTTCAAGGAGGAGGACAAGGCAGAAGCAAAGGGGTATCTCTATGCACCAGCTGAGCCAAACTACCTCATAGCAGTTCAAATTAGGTCACAATGTGGGATAAATCCAAAGACAAAGAAGACGATGGAGTTGTTGAGACTGACCAAAATAAACAGGTGTGTGATACTGAAGAACAACGAGTGCATCAGGAAGATGCTGCAGATTAGCAAGGACTACATCGCATATGGAACAGTAGACTACCAGATGCTAAGGAAACTGGTATATAACAGGGGATGTGGGAAGATTGGAAACAGTCGAGTCAAATTGACCAATGAGGTGATTGAGGATGCATTTGATGGGAAATACAGGTGCATTGAGGAGCTGTTGTACTCCGTATACTCTGGTTCAGAGGACATGAAGATGATTCTGAACTTTATTGTCCCAATTAAGCTAAACTGCCCAAGAGGTGGATTCTGTGCTGGCAGGAAGCTCAGGTCGTTTGTCCAGGGCGGAGCAAGTGGAAACCACGAGGAGCTGCTCTGTAACCTCCTTGAGAAGATGATTTAGAAGTGCAATAAATACGTGCATAAATTGAATTAAGCTTATTTTACCCTTGTAAATGTCCGATGATACTTCAAAGGAGCAACTCTTCATTGATCTCCAGCTGCAGCTGAAGGAGTATTTGGCTGATTCGCAGTCTCTGTCACTCAAGGACCTCATCAACGACAACATTGTAGCCTACGACTACCACATCAAGGAGGATGTTCAGAAGGATGAGGAGACCTACAAAAGAGTGAAGAAATTGCTCAAAAAGATGAGCAAAATCAAAGACACCTCTGAATTCGATTTCAGTACAGTAGAAGACGAGATTAGTGCTATATTCAGAAAGAAGAGTGAGCCAAAGAAGGAGAGGTCTCTCTTCATTCCCGACCTGAGCACAGTTGAAATGGTCGAATACCTGAATAGCGTAAACAGTGGAATAAACATGGATAATTCTGTAGTGAAGGATGACATCAACACGCTGAGGAAGATGCCTGAATTCACGTTCAAGGAGCTCAACCTGACCAGAAACCTGACTCCCAGCAACTCTCACGCCCACGTCTACAAGAAGTTTGAGAATGCGTCGAATAATTCTGAGGACGAAAGACAGCCGAATGGGTTCACTGCCTACGTCAGCGAGCCAAGGGTCGCGGGTTCAACTCCCCCGAATGCCAATAATTTGTTCTTCAATAA